CATCAACAGGCCCCTGGTGTGGGGTTATTAAAAATATATCGTCGCCCATGTCCGTCGGTCCGTCAACAATTATTGGCTTATTGGCGCAATAGAGGCTGCAGTTTTTAACGGATTTTCAAATAAAAATTGATGTGAAGCATTGGGGTAATGAGAGGCCGAAACCTATTGATTTTCAGTGTTCCACGACCTTCTCTTCGGGAGCTACCCCCACTTCCGAAAACTTGGTAAATGCGATGCAAACTAAAGTTTTTAAACAGGTTTTTTGTTTTTTCTTAAATTTGGATTGAAGTATTGGGGCTATAAGATGATAAACCCGATTGATTGTAAGTGTTCAGAGCGCCACGTTTCTCAATTACACCCGATCCCCCTTTCTAGAAGCTATAGCTCTTAACGGATTCTTTTTTCAAATTTTGTGTGAAGTGAAGTGTTTGGGTTATTCTCGAGTGAACGAGTCCAATCAATATTCAGCGTTCCTCTGCCTCCCGTTCCGGAGTTACATAACTTCATTGGCGTAAGAGCCGCTGGGGGGGGGGGGGGTCCCATAAATCCGGTGATCCGTTCGGAGAATGGGGAACATTAAGTTGTTTTTTGCTTAACATATTGTAAATTTATATTGTTGTGTAATTAATTAAAAATAAACAACCATCACAGCTTTGTGGAAAATTTGTTTTTAGTTAAATGATTGATTCATTTTGAAAATTCGGGTGACAGAGAAAATTTTCGGGCAAAGACTTTCTGTTCAAGAGATATAGTGTGTTTGTCCGGGAAAGTTTTTGAGCACTGCAGAAATCAGATTTCCTGAAATGAAATGGGGTTAACAACTTCCTACTACTGTTCCGCTCCTCGATACAGTGTGCTATGAGAGAAATTATGCCCGGACATAGGCGCTACTATATACTTGCCTCCCCCCCCCCCCTTCAAAAAAAAAAAAAATTACATAGTAGGCCCTAACTCCTATTTATTTACAACAATTATTAGGATTAGTTAAGATTTTATCTGTATAAAACCTGTACATATCCCAATATGCATACGGCACCCCCTGACTTAAACATGATAAACATTGTATTGGTGTGATGTTTTAGTTTAACCCCGTAAACTATGTCAAAACAGTGTTTACAGAAGACTGAAACTTTAAAAAAAATTATGGGGGTGCCCCCCTTCCCCAAGTAGGAGGGTGGCCCTCCCAAACTCTCCCTATCGCGCTACATCGCGGCGTTACAGATTGTCAACATTTTATATAATTTCATCGGCGGAATCCCCCCCCCCCCAATATACATTTCACGGCTACGCCTCTGCGTGTACACGGGATATCCCCCCCCCCCTCTCTCTCTCTCTCTTAAAAAAGTCGGTTGCCGATTATTGCCATAAGGATATAAATATGACGGGTTAAAGTGACACAAGAGACGATTCAAAATGTCGGCATCACCTTTAACCGCACATCTATAAAAAGTAAAATGAATATAAATCCGCTAACGATCGATATATTGATTGTGGAGGTTTGTAAATGGTATCTAATTGAATGATTTATCTCTTTGAGTTTTTACGTTCTTCCCATACCACGCTAGAACACACATTTAATTATCTTTCACCGAGTAATTCAAATATAGTGAGACGCTATTCGGGCAAAATATTTAAAACCCGCCGTGACCTCGACCAGTTTATAGGTAAAAACAAAACTGAACATTTTCGTAGAAGACATTTTAAGAAAGCTATAAAGATTTGATAAGGACAATATTACATGTAATGTGACGCCATGCTGCTATGATGAGATGAAAAACGGGGTATGACTATGAATGTATAAAATTTTACCGGGACAGTGGAAGTGTGTCTTTTTTTCTTTTTTTTTTGTTTAACAGTTTACGTATGTTTGTTTAATGTGTTACATATTTCGCTGAGGGTTGGGGGGGGGGGGCGCAGCCCACGGATATAAGACAAACCCGACGACCTTACTTAACAAGCTGGATTTTGCCTGACACTGGGTTGCGCGAAGACTTTCGCCAGACGTTTCCAAAGTCTTGGCCTGTTGGAGCTTTGAAGAGAAGATAAAAAAAATTTGTCCAGACTTACCTTAGAAATCTGTTTCTTTTTCAGGGGTTTGAGGTTGGTCACAGATTATATATAACATAACAGAACATAACAATAACATAACATCCAAATTTATATAGCGCAATAAATACTCGTATTATGAGTTGCAAATGCGCTTGCAAAGTTATATATTTGGTTTCATTTCATCCATATAGTGTTGTATGAACAGGTGAGTTTTTAGTCGTGTTTTGAAAATGCAGACAGACTTTGATTCTTTTATGTGAAGGCGTAGTGAATTCCACAAATGAGCTGAAGGGTACTGGAATGAACGTTTGGTCATTTCTAAGCTTCAGATTACAATTTCATTTCGTTATTTTCGAAAATATTTATTTTTACAAGACTTACAACTTGCGGGGTTTTGTTATTTCTTGGAGGGTGGGGGTGGTGGTTGATTGGGGGGGGGGGGAATTTCCCCTTACAATACTATAATTCATTAATCATCTTTTACAAATGAAATAACCTTTTTAACTCAATCTTTGCAGGTCCTCCGTCTTTTGTTTTTTCAACTTTGGTTAACATCTGCAGAACCATTGCCCAATTAGAATCCCCCAATCTCTATCGACAATATACTCTGTTTGCACAAAATATGCCAGCGGCTCTGGAGTTAGCCCATTTGGCGCAGAACAATAGGACGTTAAACTGCACTTCATTTCATTTCATGAGGTGTAGAAAGCCTTGTCAAAGAAACAGTGTGGTTTGAATTAGCTTCCAGTATTTTTATCACTCTGTGTTTCACCTCCGTATATCACGGCGAAAATGTCAGATGCTTTACGGACAATCAATATGTCGCCCTTGTTTTTCGTCGTAGCGAATATAAATGAAATAGGGTTAAGTGTCCTAACTTTCTGAACAGCCCGGACTAATGAAGACGGACATAATTCATATCATGTGTTATGAGGGAAATTTTGCTTTGTTAGCGGTGCTACAGTTTACTATTTTTTCGTTTTCCAACTTCAAGAGTTCTTTTGTGTGTACTCCAACCTGTATAAGGGTCCTCGGTTTTTTGTCCCATCCGAACGACGCAATGCCATTCCTTACCAAGGGAACAAGGAGAAACCACGCCGGAAAATCCCGAGGAACTTTCCCGACCGACACCGGGATCTAACACAGGATCTCGAAGGAGAATAGGAGGGAACGACGTTGTCTGGGCAAATTTTCTCTCACACCCTGCATGGCGTATACCATTTTTATTACTCCGGTTGATGCAGAAAAGCACCATATAGGGTCAAAGAAATCATCGATTCCTTTGTATTTAAACCAAACGGAAACAACTATAAATCTAATGTACGGTGAAGCACAGGAATCTGACCTTCTATCCGTATATATATGCATACCCATGTCGTACCAGACAATTGGGTTTTTTCTTATTATATATTGTCTGGTACGACATGATGTAGGCATATATATACGGATAGAAGGTCAGATTCCTGTGGGTGAAGTAATTTTCAAAATTTTCTCGAAGAGGCTACGGAACGAGCGCCTCCACCGACTGCTCCCTTCATCAGTCCCTGCCAACACCGGGAGAGAACCCTGGACCCCCATGTTAGTGAGCCAGTGCCTTATATACCCACTGTACAACCGTGGAACCATATATGTGACAAGACTATCAAACGATGCTAAGCGCCTAGAGATTCCTGTTGCAATGTGGACTAGTAATTCATTCCCTTATCTCTCGATAGTTCCTCTGTTTACAGTAGCGGTTCTAGAAGCTGTGAATTAGGGTGGGGGGGGGGGCAAATCTAGGGCACCATTCACAATCCCGCTCTGCAATGAATGTCAACTAAATACGTAATAAAATGTATAAAATAACACTGAACGTCTCGGTAGAACCCCTCCCCCTCCCGTCCGATTAAATCCCCACCTGTCTATTTAAAGCACACCCTCTCCCTTCTTTTGCATCGCAATATGTTTAGACTTTTTTTTACAATCGAAGACGCGTATCTGAATTCCCATTTTCTGCCAGATTGGTGAATATTCATGATTTTGGGGCACTAGACCTAGCAAAAACTCAAACTTGTCAACCCCTTTCAATATTTTTATCAGTTGATTGTAACATATTGGACTCTTTGTGGTTAAAAGATTAAGATCATCGAAATGTTAAAAGAAATGTTATTCATGACCATAAGACTTGTCACGGATTCAACATTGAAGTTTAGCAGGAGAGAATTACCAGTCCGAGTCCATCTAGGTCCCTCGGTAGAACATAGATAGTAAGCAATATGTTTAGACTGTTTGGTTTATAATCGAAAAAGCATGTCTGAATACCCATTTTCTGTCGGGTTTGGTGAATATTCATGATTTTGGGACGGAAGGATGAGGAAGTCAACGAACATGATCGCCTACTAAACTGACGTAACTGTCTACAGATTTCTTTGACTAGGCCTAGCAAAAACTCAAAATTGACAACCCCTTTCAATATTTTTATCAGATAATTATAATATCTTTGCGGTTATAAAGATTAAGATCATCGAAATGTTAAAAGAAATGTTATTCATGGCCATGAAGTCCATTGGGAGAGAATTACCAGTCCCAGTCTATCTAAGTCCCATCTTCAATAGCAGACTTGATCTCGCTTTAACTCCGTGCATCTTATCAAAGCTTTCACGTAATGCATTGCATATTTCGGCATTAATTTCGATTGGCTACTGACCCAGCTGAGGAGCCTATCAGATTCCTCGATCATCACGAATACAAAGTCTCACGCTTTCCAGCTAAAGTTTCCGTGGTGGTCGCCATGTTTGATTTAAGTGTGTTTGTGTCACCACCTCTAATCGGACGCTATCATTCACCTGTCTGCCTTAAAGGGAGATAACGTAGCTTTAAGTTCGAGGATGGCAGACCAGTCTTGCAACGTCTGGAGGTTGCTACAGGAACATGTCCAAGACCAAGCTAAAGAAGATAATAAATAATAGTACTGATATTAAATGTACCAAAAAGAATCGTTGGTATTTTTTATTTATCTTTTTGTTTTGCATACAGGAATATTTACAAGTGCATAATGTTAAAAATTCATATTTACAATTCTTTTGTTTTTAAAAGTAGTTAAAACAAAAGATTCTCATTTCAAAAACAAAAACAGTTTCTCTTTCCACTGATAATAGTTTATCCCCAATTTTCAAAATTACACAACAAAATGGATGTAAAAAAAAAATCCGTTATAATATGATACGTCCGATGAGGGTTCTAAATAAAACAAAGACAATCCTTATACCATGGCAACCAACAGTTGTAGAAAATATGAATTAATATCCGTTGATAGTAATAATAAAGTACACTACATGGCCGGATTAAGAAAGGGGCGGGGGGCTTATTGGGCCAGGGCCCCGAAATTGGTTCTAAAGAATATTGTACCTTAAGGATGCATTAAGTAAGATTAAGATAAGGAACTGACCATTAATTCTTTATTCCGAGCAAAGTTATGAGTGTTTGAAGTTATGACCAGTTGTGTCATAGATTGTTTATCATCGTGGCAACGGTACTCGACATCTTAGACTAAGTCTCGATGATCCATTTTATCCATTTTAACTGTTTAACTCAAAATGTCAATGACCTCAATAAGGGGAAACCACACTGGAAAATCCTAATATAAGGTACTTTCTAAGTTAACACCTGAATCCAACACCAGACCTCCTGCGTAGTGAGTTAGCGCCTTACTCACTTAGCGGGGACATCGGATATTTAAGTTAGAGTTTAAGTAAATTCAAATCAAATGTCAGACACTTCTTGTGTTGTTGCAACACGAGCGTGCTGTATCATAAGGTCTGTCATTAAGTCATCTGGCGAGGTTTCGAATACGTGACAAGGAGTAGGGTCGCCTGTCCAACCTCGAGGGTTTTCTCCGGGTCCTTCGGTTTCCTCCCTCTGCTAAAGACTCCTACGCGCAAGCGGATTAATGAAATAAAATTTAATCATGTGTTAGTCCCGAAATGACCTAGCTTATGTTGCGTGGACGTTAAACCCCATCTCTCTCTCTCTCCATCTCTCTCTCTCTCTCTCTCTCTTGTTTGGCACCGATACAAGTGCCGTGGCTTTAATTCCAGACCTACATGTGGCAACGAATACTGTTTCTTGTCTAATAAACAATTTTTTTATTGGCATGGATATTTCAAAGACAATTCCATTTTCTCTTTTAGGGATGTTGTTAATGATACCATAACCGTTATATCATGTATTAGATTTTGTAAATCAACTCCAATCCAATTGGGAATTTTAGAAAATTTTATTTTTAACGCTGAAAAGTCGGAAACAATGGGACCGCCAATGAAGCCGGGGAAATTTTATGAGTATGCCTAATTCAAAGCTTATTTTCGCTGTCTGGTTTCAAATTAATTCCCTCAACTTTTATTCCGGTTATTCATTCTAACTTGGAAAATGAGATTAGATATACGCCTTGACAGGATATGACTGTAGCCATGTTGTCTGTGGTATTGTATCATAGTTTTTATATTACAAATCAATGGAAGAAATGGAATGCTCTCGGCCCCATAAAGTATGACTCGAAAGGCTTCAATAGTTTAGAATTGCAAGATTATAAATGACTGTTTTTATTTTATTTATGTTTTTCTTTTCTTTTATTTTGTGATTGATGGATTATTTATTGATTTGATTCATTTTATTTATTTATATATCTTACGTGTTTTATGTATTTATTCATTCTAACTGGTTAGCTAATTAAACATCCATTATGCAAGAGCTAAATCTGCCTATTGCTGGTCTTTCCTTATGCCTTAAATGTTATATCGTATACTCTAGAATTTCAACAGATTTAAATACCTAAAAATGGATATTCGAGGCTTTGTTTACTATCGTAACAACGGTAGAAATGGCAATCAATTATACACTGCTATTGTACCGACAATAGCCCGGCTCAGAGTGAAGTAATTTGATTGAAATTTTCAACATATTCCATTTTCAATATCTATTTCTTAATTATTATAGCGGAAACTGTGAGCTCTTTACCTTATCTTACATAATGGCCCTTTAATTATTTACCGAAACTGTGTATATAGAAAGTACGACAATAGCAAATACATGTTAAAGATTTCACTTTACATAGAAATGAAATGACATGGGGTTTAACGTCCTACTGTTCTGCTCCTAAACTGGGCTAATGAAGACGGGCATACGCCATACAGTTAGCTATGAGGGAAATTTTGCCCGAGCAGCGGCGCTACGGCCTACTCTTATATCGAACTCCAACTGTCAAGAGATATTTTACGTACACGCCAATATGTACACGGGACCTCGGGTTTTCGTCCCTGAACCACTGACAAGGAGAAACCACGCTGGAAAATCTAGATGAACTTTCTTGGCCAACACCGGGATCGAACCTGCGAACTGAGCATTCAAATCCCATATTGTTTACGGATCATTTCAAAAAATATGTGGCATAATCAGAATTTCTAAAAGGCGGAACCACAAACTTTTAATCTTTTAAATTAGGTTATGGCGTAACCAACTAGAAACTAAATATATTCCTGTGAATTTAAATTTCTTAAAAGAATGGCCTCCACTATTGGAGGAAGTAAAACTTGCTTTTTTTTGGGGGGGGGGGGAGAATCTTTGCAGAACAGTGGCGCAATCGCCCACTCTTATTTCAAATTCGAGGGTTCTTTTACGTGCATGTCAAGGTGTACATAAGTCCCAGGTTTTTCGTCCCATCCGAACGACTACCTGGGACATGGAGAATCAACTAAAAAATAAATGAATTTGGGCTGATGCCATGTTCATATATTTACAAACAGTAGACTGTAGATTGAATAAAACGACCAATTTAAAAAGCATCGTTGATATCATGTCTGCGATATCCCATTGGCGAAAGCGGTCGTAGTAGTGACAGCAGATTTCGTTGATTTATATATTCCACTCTGAAACCCTTCATTATAACGGAGATGAGCTACGCCAATGCTACATATAAATATTTTCATCACGAAAAAATGTGGTGATTAATTGAGAGAGAAAATAAAGCAAGACCCCCACGTGGCTAGCTGTTTCAACTCTGAGCCACTTAACCACATACACCAATAATATTCCAAATATTGCAAAGAAGGAAAGAATGTACAATTAGTGCACCACATTATCCTGAAACCTAAAATGATCGCAGGTTGTATTCCAATTCCTCTTCATCAAGAATATTCAAAATTTTAAATGTTTAAAAATTATGTGAATGAGGATAAAACTTTGAAAAAATCACAATACAGTAAAACAAACGAATTGCTTTCATATTTTATCAGTCGTGTACACGGCACACGTATTTCGTTTCGTTTCATTTGCGTTCCAAGAAAGACAAAAACCGACTAACTAATATCATTAATAGACAATAAGAAAGTCTAGGTGTCATGATATACTAAAAGTTTATCCCTAATCACAGATAGATGCAGCGATACTTTCAGAAACTAAGGCCATCACCACACAGTCGTGGCATAGATTAATGATATATCACCACAAGGTCCCATAAAAGAGACAAACGCTACCACTGCATAGCCGTGGCACATAGTAGAGATTAACTAGATCACCGTACAGTTGTGGCGCATGGTAGAGACAAACTAGATCACCACACAGTCGTGGCACATAGTAAAGATTAACTAGATCACCGCACAGTCGTGGTACATATTAGAGATTAACTAGATCACCACACAATTGTGTCACACGATAGAGATTAACTAGATCACCGCACAGTTGTGACACACGGTAGAGATTAACTAGATCACCGCACAGTTGTGGCACATAGTAGAGATTAACTAGATCACCACACAGTCGTGACATATAGTAGAGATTAACTAGATCACCGCACAGTTGTGACACACGGTAGAGCTTAACTAGATCACCGCACAGTCGTGGCACATAGTAGAGATTAACTAGATCACCACACAGTCGTGACATATAGTAAAGATTAACTAGATCACCGCACAGTCGTGGCACATAGTAGAGATTAACTAGATCACCGCACAGTCGTGGCACATAGTAGAGATTAACTAGATCGCCGCACACTCGTGGCACATAGTAGAGATTAACTAGATCACCGCACAGTGTCATATGTAATACCATTGTATCTTAATTATTAGATTCAAACATTGTAGAAAAATCATATCCCACGTACTCAAATTAAAATGATTGAGTGGTTGACACATAAAAGGATTTATAAAACCAAAACAGAGATGATTTTAGGTGAACCCAGAATATCATATTATCACTTGTGCTGGATAATTCCTATCCCATCATTTGGCTTAGTAATCAATCATCATAATTAATTACGTAATATTTGTCCAATTAAATAATTGACAGAGCTGTCATAAGGACACTGTCTATGTTATAAGAGTGATTTAGGACCTATAAATTTTAGACATCATTGGGTTTCGGACAGATACCATACGAGTTCCGTAGAGATGACCATCTGAGTTCCTAGAGACTGCCACTGAATTCTCAGAGAGGGTAGACATCGCCTTGGTTCTTTAGATGACCATAATTGTGATGTAGCGGTTTCTCGGGTCTAGCCATGCTGATTAGACTTTTACGGGAGTTGGGGTTGAATGAAAGATGTTATTTTACGTATGCTAATATTATCTATTATGCATTATAACCATATGCATCTAGCTTGACATAAAAATGTAGAACTGAACTGTTGCACTGTTATTCCTGGTAAGACAAACGTCTTAACTACCGAGATAGTAAGAAGAAAATACACAACGTGAAAAGGAATCCAAAGAAGAGAATTACAAATACTAGACGATGAAAAGAGAGTATGTAGCAGAAACGAGTATGCGTCACACGTTGGATGTGGGGAGTTTTCGGCTTACTGGCTTTTCAAATCTAACCAGCGACTCATAGCACGCATAGTGCTACACATACGGCATTGGTTACCGTTAAGAGTAAGAATCGCCAACTCTATCCCAGATCAGACAGATGAACTTTCCATATGGAAATAACCTCCCCAACCCAACTGATATCCCCACAAATTGATAACACCAGTAGAGCAATTCAACTTTATTGATGTATATCACCCGATACATTAAAATCAGACAATCCGCATATATCTCCAGTCCCCCTTAATTATGTCTTCTGAATGCAAGCTATAATTTGAAAAGTTCACCGATTGCTGGGATGGGTTTGCAACGGTGGCTTTATATCAACCTTTTGGAAATCTGACCCGGTTTCCCAGTATGATCTAGGACGAGGTTGGTGAAGGTATATGTTTACATAGACAACAGTAGACTACTCAATTTGTGTCAGACAATCGGACAACTTTAAAATAAATGAGCTAACATGTATGTTGTTCGTTTTTGTCTGCTCTGTTTTCAAGGCACCAGTCAAATCACACCAACCCCACCTCTCATTGCACACAGCCACAGGAATAACTACAATTTTTACACACCAGAACGACCCGGTCATTCATTAGCTTTCCTCGTCCTGATCGACTTCTGAATGAAATTTAAATTTAAAAGCCTATTAAAACAAAACGAACATCAAACATCCGTTACCAGGACGTGTCTTTTAAAACGAACTTTTTCCGGATTACACGACGTCTCTACGATACGTTCGACCACCTCGTTACTCTCCTCATCATAATTCGAGGAGGAGGTGAGAGTATGGAACGCTTGTATAGCCACCTGATTTACTTCGCTCTCGTGAGCTTTCTGTCTATTCGGCATCCCCTTAAAGAAATGTTCCAAAGCGGCCTCTTCTTCCATTTCCTCCTTCTCTGTCCGTAGGTATTTTATTATCATTACCACAATGCCTAGCGAGTAGAAGACTAGCACGGATATAATATACATAACAGCGCCAAAATCGGTGTCCTCTTCCCCCTTGCTTCCCTTTCCACCGGAACCTCTACTTTTACTTTCATTTGCTGCTAATCTACTTCCGTTTTTCAGACACTCCTCATAAAGAATCGATAAGAGAACTAGTGGTGTAGTTTTATTGGGATTGTTGTAGCTTGCGAGTTTTAAGGCCATTATGAAACGTCTGGATCTAGATCAACCAGGTCTTCTCTGGAATCTTAGCTCTGAAATATTAGAAAAAAAAATAATCAAACATTTAAAAACATGATACTGATATCCAAGGAATACATGATATAAGTATTTCAGGGTAGTTCTGACAACATCCTTTTCAATCTGCTTTCCTTATTTCAACATTCTGCCATGCCCCAGCGTGGTTTGTCCTTGTCAGTGGTGCAGGGCAGCTGGCCTGGCATGAAACAGTTGTTTGGATAATACCAAAACCGATCTCAATTTTACACCCATAAAACAACATCAATATGCATGCTATCTACAGACCCTGGAGTACATGGCGCGGAGGGGGGTGGGGGGTGCTCGTTTGAACATAAGGTCTGTCATTGAGTCAAGTGGCGTGGCTTCGATTCCCCGCGAGAGCCACATCTGTACGTGACAAAGAGTATGGTCATCTGTCCAACCTCGTGGGTTTTCTCCGGGTCCTCCTCCCACTGCTAAAGACCCCTACACGCTTGCACATTAATGACATACAATTTAACCATATGTTAGTCCAGAAATGATATAGTTTGTGTCAAGTGGACGTTAAACCCCATATCTTTTCTCATTCTGTGGAGTACGGGTATCATATGTCCACTCTGTAAACACTGGTTACTCTGTAATTTACGGGGGGGGGGGGTGGATGGCCGAATGGTTAGCGTGTGTGCGCTGTATCATAAAGCCTGTCATTGAGTTAGCTGGCGTGGTTTCGAATTCCCGGTTATACGTGATAAAGAGTAGGGTCGCCTGTCCAACATCGTGGGTTTTCTCCGGGACCTCCGGTTTCCTCCCACTGCTAAAGACCCCTAAGCGCAAGCGAATTATTGAATTAAAATTAAACCATAATAATATGTTAGTCCCGGAATGACCTAATTTGTGTCGAGTGGACGTTAAACCCCATTTCTCTCGCGCGCTCTCTGTGTAATTTACGGCCAATATCTTTTATAATTTCGGTAATTAGGGGTCTCTGGCGTATGCCCTTCTTCATTAGCCTTACTTTTCTGGGCTAATGAAGACGGACAACATGCGCCATAAAGTGTGCTATGAGGGAAATTATGCCCGGGGAAGCAATTGAACTGTCAAGGATTCAATGTGTGCACGCCAACACGTACAGGACCCCCGGTTTTCACACCATTCGAAGGACTATAGACGTTTTTCCTTGGCAGGTCCTCCGTTATGCACCACTGCTAAGTGGAAAAAAAAACGCCGGAAACCAACCACAGAGGAACTTTCTCCAGAAATATGAGCCAGTAGCCACCGCGGTCCCTTAGATATAATCTAATAAACTGTTTGAATTATATATCCAGTGTTCATTATCCCGATTGGTGCAGAAAAGTAGAAGTTAAACCCCATTTCATTCATTCATTTGAACTATATACGCGTAATACAAGGTATATAGTGTGGGGGATCATGGTGGTTAAGTGGGTAAGACGCTGGCTCGCTAGCCTGGAGGTCGGGTGTTCGATCCCTGCATTGGCCGAGAAAGTTCATCCAGATTTTCCGGCGTGGTTCTCCCTTGTCAGTGATGCAGGACGGAGGGCCTGACAAGGACAGCTGTCCAGTCGTTCGGATGGGACGAAAATCCGAGGTCGCGTGTACACATTGGCGTGCACTTAAAAGATCCCTTGACAGTTGGAATTCGATATAAGAGTAGGCCGTAGTGCCGCTGGCCGGGCAAAATTTCCCTCCTAGCACACTGTATGGCGTATGCCCGTCTTCATTAGCCCAGTTCGGAGCAAAACAGTAGGACGTTAAACCCCATTTCATTTCATTTCATTTATCTGGATTTCTATGTCAGTGAATCGTTACTGTTTTCAAGTTGTCTGATTGACTGACTAAGAATCAATAGTCCAAACGCTGAGTTGGAGTCGGTTAAAGAGACATCAATATTAATCTGTCGTCAGTTTAAGCGTTTCTTAGAAACACAGAGAAAGATAATGGGGTTAAACACATCAATCCAACGAATATAGGATGCGGGGTGGTTAAAGATACATTATGTAAGATTTAGATAAAGAGCTAGCCATTCTTGCTTTAATAGTTCGAAAATAGAAAATGCGAAATGAATATACCGGTATTGAAAATTTCATTCATATTACTCCACTGCGAGCGAAGTCCTTTGAAGATTTGACAAGATGTGTGCATTTATTGCAACTACCGTACTGGTTGTTCGAATCTAAGCTTCGCATCTCCATTTTTAAATTAAATCAAAATATGGCTGAACCGTTCTGATCTACTTAATATTTACCTCATAAACTATCGATGCCATCTGATTGGTCCGATTTTCATTAGATTTTGAATCCGATCTGCCGTTCAACGGCCGCAATGATTAGCCATAAAAATGGATAATCGACACTTTGTTTATTATCGTATCAAATAACAATGACAATTGAGGCTATCAAAATGGGTATTTCTCGTGTCAGAGTGGAGTAATTTGACCGACATTATCAGCATATTCCCGTTACATTATCTATTTTTAACTATTACAGCAAGAACTGCCAGCTCTTTATCTAATCTTCTTGTAGTTAAAAAGCGATCAAAATTGTTAACTTTATGTTAGAAGTATAAAATATGGTGTCAAAGTACTGTGAATTATGCGGATCATTTTAGGATTCGGGTCACTTCTAAGACCTTTTTCCCGCGGGGTATTCAACGTCTGGTAATTCCACGCCCGTAGAAGGCAGATTTGAGGAATGAACTGGTCTTTCCTCGCCGATGGCATTCATTGTTTCATTCCTTTGATACTAGCAGCCACGGTGACTCAGTCAGTAAGGCGCCGAAGTTTTGAGAGTTCAATGTCCAAACTGCTCAAATAACGCATTTAATTTTTATTTCTCTTAAGAACGGAAGAAATATTCGAAATGAAATGAAATGGGGTTTAATGTTCTGCTCCGACTGGGCTAATGAAGACGGGTGTGCTATGAGTGAAATATTGCCCGGACAGTGGCGCTACTGTCCACTCTTATATCGAATTCCAACTGCCAATGGATCTTTTATGTGCACGGAAATGTGCACCACTGACAAGGGGAAACCACGCCGGGAAATCCCGATTACCTTTCTCGGCCAACCCGCAACCTCCAACCTAGCGAGCCAGCATCTTACGCAATTAGCCACCGTAAGAAATATTCGAAACTTGTGGCATATTATATTACTGGAAACAACATTAGGTCGTGTATTATTAGATACAATATGAATCAGCAGAATTAAATAACCCGCAGCAAGTTTCCACATGAGAACAAACTTAATTAGAGAACTTCTGTCTACTCTCCAGGCATAATATCTCCACCAAATATAATACATATTAGCATATCAAACAAAGGAGATGAATTTATTTATATAAGCTTCGTGGATTTTTTTAAAATCCAGTATATCATTATTGTATATATTTACATTGTTTGTGCACGTACCAGATCGTGGACTCAATCCTATCGTAACGCATCGCACGGCAGTGTGAACCTAGCATAATGTGTGACGTGGATAATAAATCGAATTAAAATACAGATGTGGCGTCACCCTTTGATGTTGGCGTACCATTATTTCAAATAATCGTACGGGCAACTATCCAATCGTACATTATTTATACTAGTGAAATATTGGACTGTAAAAGCACGTGCGGAGTGTCTGTACTTTAAGTCGTTTTATGGTCTCGAGCTTAAAGACATTGCGTAATATATTGTAGAAACACTTGGGCCTACGGCTTTCTTGTTTGTTGTTACAATATATTACTTAATGTCTCGCTCTCGACCATTAAACAATACCTAAAATATGGTATTAACAATCAATAATCGACTGGAGTGCAATAGGGTTTAAAGTCTTGTCAACACATAGAATTGGTCTTTTTCAGACTAACATCTAATAAATATCATTTCTATGGATACGTGTACACAGCATTGTGCCTAGATAGCGTCGCTTCGGTTTATACCCTTCTTCGAATACCAACTACCAAGGGATCTTTTATGTGCACGTCAATGTGCCCGTCAAGAGATTCTTCTCGAACCCGGGATATTCTAGTGGCTAGGTCAGTGTCCTACCGCTATCCACGGATAAAGATTTGTAATGAAAGGAACTCGGATTAAGCATACTTGTTAAAATGGACAGCTGAGCTCTTTAATCTGCATCCAAAACAACATTGTCGACTAGCAACCCACGGGGCCTAAAGGCGCATCGTGGGGAGTTTGTTTGTCAACGAGATCCGCAGGAATCAGTGCCTCCCCTCGTTCGGCGCGCGATAAGATGAATCCGGTAATCTCTTGGTTAGTTAGTCTTACTCACCGAACCACCGTGTTTTTAAGTAAAATATAGATAAATATCTCTTGAAGTCTGTCATATGTTTTATAGTTACCAACTGGTCTTGATTGATTATAAACATTCTCAAGTTCATAGTAAGTACTCATATATAAATAAACAGTGTATTGTTTATGGAGTACTCGTGTATGTATATATAATTAAATATGGTTTCAAGGCTAGGTTCTGTACGCAGCTTGGCTCGGTACCTTATTTATATACTTACAGAAAACATCTGAACGCTTTGCAAGTAAATTACTTGGTCAACGCAATAGTCACACGAGAGAGAGGGAGAGAGAGAGTGAGAGAGAGAGAGAGAGAGAGAGAGAGGGGGCAGACACAGAGAGAGGGGGGAGAGTTTAACATCTACACAACGCCAATTGGGCAAATTCAGGACGAGAGAGAGAGAGAGAGAGAGAGAGCAACACGGTATGTTGGCTTTAGACATAATTATATAAGCGTGCGCGCGCTGTATCATAAAGTCTGTCATTGAGTCGACTGGCGTGGTTTCGAATTCCCGGTTGTACGTGACAAGGAGTAGGGTCGCCTGTCCAACCTCGTGGGTTTTCTCCGGGTCCTCCGGTTTCCTCCCACTGCTAAAGACCCCTGCGCGCAAGCGAATTATTGAAATAAAATTAAACCATATGTTAGTCCCGAAATGACCTAGTGTGTGTCGAGTGGACGTTAAACCCCATTTCTTTCTCTCTCTTCCTTTAATTAATGATTTAATCATATT